TCGATGCCGTCAAGAGTGGCGACGTCAATGCCCACGATCGCATCTTGAAGGAGAAGTTGCTCCCCAACGACATTTCTTGCCGTTTCTGTCCTGATGATGACAACTACAAGTACCCACTTGATGATGACTGGACTCACTGGCACCGTGATCTAAAGGATGTTGGCGAGTCTTCTCCTGTCGAAGCTGACGAAGAGCGCAAGATGAAGGAGGTCAAGCTTCCAAATGGTATTTCTTGCCGCTTTTGTCCAGATGATGACAACTACAAGTATCCTCTTGATGATGACTGGACTCACTGGCATTAGATTCATTGGCCGCTCAACGATCTCTGAGGATCGATTTGTGAGGCTGGATTTGGAAGCATAGCTAGCCGTTTTCGTAACTGAATAGTAATGCTTGATTCGGCATGCGCATTGACCAGCACACTGATTGTTTCCTCATCTTCGTTTCCGCCCGGCCTGGACTTTAGACGTATCATCCCAACTGACTTACATTCTTCGTTGTGCTCGCGATCGTCTTGGCGCAGTCGTCCTTCGCTCTCAGGGAACCAAATTGATTCGAGTAGCTGCCAAGGTGTGCATGTCCAAATTTTTGAAGTGTTTTATGACTGAAGAATAGAGAATGGTGGGTGTGCTTCCCAGAATTTCAATCATAGTCTTTGCTTAGAGGTTTCACTGCGATAGTAGAACGTGATACTATGGTCTACGATGACTCAATCCTTTCTCTCGGAACGAGTTTTACGTCTCTTTTGGCTTTTCTAGTACCGGTATTCCTGAACCTGAAAAATACTCCCGCTGCTCCCACGTGATAAATGCTTGTATCGTTGTTTGTTTCTCCGCTGTATCAATACTGCCACGTATGATCGCTTGGGTCGATGTTTATGCTTTCTATGGTACGACTTCCGCGTCTTCTTTTTTACTGTTCTACCGTTATTCCCGAAGTGCGAACCGCCGTGCTTGAGGTTACACGACGATGGTAGAGCTTTGCGTGCTCCTGGGATGGTTACACTTTATGTAGTACGAGTTTCACGTCTTCTTTTTGGCTTTTCTAGTACCGGTATTCCTGAAGCTGCAAATGCTACCCCACCAAGCGTTGGCTGGATGTTTACACTTTCTGTGGTACGAGTTTGACGTCTTCTTTTCGACTTTTTGCACGAACCTGAGAAGAGTTCCTGTGCTTCCAGCGCGGCTGCTAGTTGATTTATTGCACCTGATGCAGTTCAATTATCTCCCGCCCTTGATCCTTCCTGGAAGGCGATAGCCATGCATGGGTGTCGCGACAGCAGATTGAAGATGGCTTCAAGCTGATGGATCAGAACGGGGGCAGTGTTGAACTTTCAGCCCTAAATGAAATATGACGTGGCCTCTGTCAGGAATCTTTTTTCGTTTCCACTTATGACCCCGATCCGCGAATTTCCCACCCTTTCCACCCAAATTTTGGCATTTTCCAAAAAAATAGCACCATAGAGATCCAAAATGGTCATTTTGAGAAGACGTCGCATAACGACGCCGATTGGACAGATAGAAGCGCATTGGGCTGAGGATATCAGCCCTATGCTTGAAACTAATTCGCGCCAATTTTTGACTGAGGGAGGATGAAATTCATGACTCGTCATCATCATTCACGATGGCAACGCGACGTGGAAAGAGGAACGCCAAGGAGACACCTCCACGGTCCCATCACAAGAAGAAAAGAGTGTACCTTTGTACCCATGCAAGTGGAAAGCAGTGGTGTACGGCCTGTGACTCGTGTAAACGTTGTAAAGCTCCTCCTCGGCCAGATTTGCCAAACGACAAACAATGCCAAGCCCACACTGTTGCTACATCTACAAGAATCAGGAAGAAATCAATCAACGGCCTCGAATACTGCATGCCTACTGTCACACCACACAAAAGCGGCCGCCCAAAAAGGACAACCTACGATGACACCGTCGGGAAAATCCAACAGACCACAGCAGAAGACGCTCAAGTCGAAGCTGACGAAAAACTCCAAGCTGAATTGACGGCAATCAAGAGCGAAATGAAGGTGGAGAATGCCAAAACGGTCCAATGTATCAGAGAAGAATCAGAGGCGGAGGCTCTGAAATTATTGATCCAGACAAATGGCAAAGACGTGGAGCTTCCTGCCGAATTTTTCATTGAATCATTGAAGCTCAGAGCAGAGATTTTGAGGATTTGATCCGTGGAAGAGAGAATGAAAAGAGGGAGGCGGAAGAGGTCGAACATCAGCTGATTGTTATGTTGGAGAGCTACCTTTGTATCCGAGTTGCTGTGGCAGTTGATGACAACAAGCCGGCTGTTGGTCGAGTGGTGGATGTTAACCTCGTGAAAGAAGATGGCAAAACCGTCAACACTGCGAACTATATTGTCGAGTTTGATGGCGAGGTTTACTTCGAAGGCAACCGGACGGATCGCGTAGAACTGAACCAAGAACAGGTGTTGTATGCGATGGACTTCATGAAAGAAATTGAATCTTTTGAAGATGATGTTGACGAGGACGGCGAAGACGGTGCTTGTGTGCCGGTGAGTAGAGACTGGGATGAATTGGAAGAATATGTAGGCAACGTTGCGTAGGCTTGGTAATAGATCCAATGAATTACATTCCTTTTTGTAGGCTAAGCAGTGCAGTAGCAAGATTAAAATCCCATTCTGCTTCTGCTTTCAAGCAACGTGAATTTGATGTGGTTTTGGAAAAAACAGAAATCTCGGATGTTTTTGGGTTCCATTTTGGTTCCACGCAAAAATTCAACGAGGCGCCTGGTACTTTAGCAAGAATTTGCGCGCGAACCAGTATTTTCCGTACGTAATCAGACGTCTAACTCTTCGCGCACCTCTATGCGCCCTTCAGTTGAGATCGTCTTCAATCACATCAATTCTTCTTTCCACCAACAATGGTATGCCTTCAGGCCGAGGAAATCACCACCCTCGGGAGGAAAACTCTTGCATTTTGGAAGCGGCCTTTGTCGTGACCGTATCTATCTTGTTTGTATGAGGTGAAATGGACGAGTTTGTTCCTTTCACCTCTGAAATGACTGCAAAAGACACATAAACGAGGTCTGAAATTCGGTTTTTGCATGGATTTGGGACCCCACGCAGTCGCAAGGCAGTAAAGATGTCAAATTTTCTTCGGAAGTTGCTTATTATGTTATAGGAAAGACGGTGGTATCATTTGATGTGCGGTATCTGGGCTCCTACAGGACGATTTTCACACGACAATATTGAGTTGGGAATTCGTCCATCACAATGGGTAGCCGGTGTGGGCGCCCAGAGAAGTAAAAACTGAATAACATGTTATGGCAAGCATGTTTGATAGATGGACTATGGCTGGAGCGGCGATTCACTATTCCTTTCGCCTCCATTACACTACAATCTACCAAAATTCGCCAAACATGTTCTGTTGGGTTGCTTAATCTGGTCAGCAGAAGGTCAAGAGGGCAAGGCCTCATATGCAACATGTGCTGGAAAGCTTCGCAGTGACCATACCTACTCGGAGATCCATTCGGTTGCTTTTTCTATGGAATATTGGCTGAGATTTTTGAATCCGAATGTTTGCTGCTGTCGTGTCACCTGTCATCATGAGGGTCGGTGTGGCCGCCCTGGAGACAACTATACATTCAACAATACACCAGAAGGTCCCTTGGATACCTATTGTTTCTATTTTCTGGTTTCTTTACATTTTTTCGGCCTAGATCAAGAATGATCTAACAAAAATGGGAAGAGTTTTCAGTGAAATTCGGTCCAAAATGGGAAATGGTATTGGTGTGGACCGAATTTCCTCAGAATTCTTCATTCCAACATACAGTTGTCGTCCATGGGTATGTATGATGAGATTGGGGGGCTTGGAATGGGTGATTTCTACGTGCAAGCGATTCAATGGCAATCACCCTGCTACAGTGGTCAATCCAGGTTTATGAAACTTGGTGTCAGGAATCCTTCTCAGTCGCCGAGTCAGTACCCAGACACCATGGCACTAAGTTCAAAGTTGTCCAAATACCAACTAGTATCGACTTTGGGCGGTGTTTTGGAGTGCTGCGCCGGTAAATAGATTCTAGGCTAGCTTATTTTTTTCTCTCTTTCCTAAGGTTTCTCTTTGACTTGGTCGAATTTCCTTCCCTGTGATCGAATCTAGCCACTTTCGCAATTTAGAGTATGCAGAGGTCTAGTTTAGGTATATATTTATAATATCGCCGGGAAATTTATCTAAAAATGTAATCGCAACAAGGTCGTATGGTAGGAGATCGCCCTCTTACCTCTTGTTTTTCGTTTTGGTAATCACACGAGTCAAAATCGGAATTGACTCAATCGACTTACTAATTGACTCAATCGACTTGATAACGGTTTCTTTTTTAGCCGTTACACAAATGTTGTTTTCTGTAGTGAAGCCCCTCTACGACCTCCTAGCAACTTGGAATTTTTTACAAGGAATGGGCAAACTATTCTCTAGCGACCTGAAAAGGTTCTAGGTCCATAGCTGCTTTTTGAAATTTTTACTTTGTCACCAGAATTCCAAATTCCTGCCACATTTTGGGTTGGGAATTCGCGGATCGGGGTCTTATGAAAATCATTTGTTCTATCGTCAGTGTGGGTCATACAGAAAAGACAAACAGGTCATTTTTTATATATCGACACGTCATTCTTTGGCATTCAAAGACCCTTCGATGTTGAATCTGCATAGGGAGAAACAAAAATGATAAGTGGAGAATACATATGATGATTCGACCTTGAAGTTGTGTGCTGTGTGACTTTGGTACCACCACTTACACAATTTCACTAAATTCGGTCTCAAGCAATAATCCAGGCTCATATTTCATAAATGGGGTTTGGTATTTTTGAAAACCGCCGTATTTTTCGTACCACCTCTACGTGTCGTCAGCTTTCCTCATGAAATATCGTGAGATATGAATATGACGGAGGGCAGACCATTAGTTTTTGAAAATCAAAAATAAAGCACTTCTAACCCGGATATGTCGCTAGCTCTTTCGTCGTGAGCTGCACTGGTCTGAAGCTCTTTGTAATATGTGTCATTGTTTTGCATCAACATCACATCAACTTCAAGCTTGCAGACAAAAGCCAAGGAACCGCAAAACAAACAAGCAGCACCACAACAGTTGCGACCTAGTGAGATAAAAATGACGACATGACAGGCGCCTGAAGCGAGAACGGCAGACTCCAGTGCAACAAGCAGCACAACAAGCGGAGAATGAATCATCAGCTTCACGCGAGCTGCGACAATACGCCAGCATTGTGGATTCGGAGTCAGAATTTTTGTTATGAGAGACATGCAATCGATCGAGAGGTCCTACGGATCGATAGAAGTGCAACCACCCCCCAACTTCACGCTTGTTGGAAAGTGGTTTTAACAACTTGATTGCATCATCTTGTGATTGAATCGACATCATCCTGGAAAGGTCAAACAAGGCATGAGAGAGCAGTCAAATCTACCAGTTGAGATTATCGCTGCGATTCTAGTGAAGTATACACTTCTCTGAGGCTTGCGACAACGAGCCTGTGCAATTTGCTGATTATCTGGACCTGAAGCATCAATCGGCTTGTTGTTTGGGTAGAAACGTAAAGGGCGAACGCAAGGCTCAATTCCATCGCAAATATACTACATGTGTATGCAAAGATCGAAGACACAATAATCAACATTGGTTGGGAAAGATTTAAAAACGACAACAAACGCAGAATCCCGACTGGGCTCCATTGTGGCCAATTTTTTTTTCTCCAGGCCAGTGTTTTGAACGAAGCTGTCTACTATCGTATAGAAAGACGCTTGCAGAGTTCTTTGTGAAAAAATTCTGACGAGAGAATAGAATAGAACAAATGAGGGCTTGATTCTGCCAATGCGGAGACAGTGACTTGACTTGAACAATGACAAGACGACACTCAAACTGGATACTACTGTTGAAGACAAAAATTATAGTCAATAGAGAATCAAGCTAGAAGCTTGAACAATACGTTCTACTATTATACATCTCCATCACCATGTAACGCTAGTCATTCCGGTTTGCCAATATACTGTCACATTCTCTAGGAAGGCCAGAACTTGTTCAACTGGAGCTGAGGTGGTTTGGTTAGGTTGCGTCCATTCTGGAAAAGCAGGTTTGCGTATCAGATTGCAAGTGGCTGGTATAGAATGTTTTTAGTTTGCTTATTCTTTATATTTGATGATCCAGGACCATCCAATCTACCGGTAGAACTGGATCTTCCTGATTATTATTTTAAGCACTGGTGTTTCGCGAGTCTCTCATATCCCCTGAAACTCTCCCCTCATATATTTTGATTTGCTTTTTGAAAGAAAATAGCCCGGATTTGGTTCGAGCTGACGACATGTACACGTACGTAGAAGCTGGTAGTCGTGAGCTGATTTGCAAACCCCATTTATCCGATATGTGCCATAATCCATGAAAAAAGCGCTCGAGAAAGCAACTTTGTTCGTTTCTTTCTGGTTGAAGCAAGAAACGAACTCTCCTCGCAACTATAGCTTTCCATTGAATTGACAACACAACAATTATATTGCAGATTTAACAAATCATGATGATGAACAC